GTCTCCAAAGTATGTCCTTTTTATTTTTGGACTTGGTAATATATTCCCACCTCTTAAAAGTCAAAAAGAACTAAAGGGAAAAGCCAGCCTCTTTCCACCCTGTCCAACCGCAGCCCCACGCACCCTGCACACCGTTCTGCAGCTTGCTTCTCCCCCTTCCCAGTGCGTCTTGGCAATTGCTCTGGGTCAGTACGTCCAACGCTTCCTCGAGACGCCCCTCAGCTGCAGGGCGTTCCCCTGAGTGCTATGAGATTAGATCTTAGATCTCCTACAGTTAGGATGTTCCAGTTTTTGTGATCACACACAGGCTACAGGAACAGCCGTGTACCATGAACATTTGTCCTTTTGCACGTGGGCGAGGATAAATCCCTAGGAGTGGATTGCTGGGTCAGGGGACATGTCACTGTAATTCTGACAGATGTTGTCAACTCGCTTTCTGTCGAGTTTGGACCACATCCTTCCCCCGGGAAGGCAGGAGGGAGCGCCGCCTCACCCACAGCTCAGGCAAAGCCCTGGGGTTTCAAATTTTGGCTCTTTGCCAATCACATAGGTGAAAAATGGTAGCTCTGTGTGATTTTATTGTCATTTGATGTGAGTGAGGTTGACCATTCTTTCCGGTGTGTGTGTATTTGGAGTTCCTATTCCAGATGAATTCCAGAGCAACGCTGAGTGGAGACAGCGGTGCAGCTCTGGACGCGTTTCTCCCACACGATGCTCATCTCCCTGGGCTGAGTGCCCCGGTGGGTGCCTGCGCAAGAAGCGGCCCCCTGGTGAAGGGCAAGGTCGTGAGTTCCTATTCTGCTACTTACTTTCTGAGCCTTGGATTCCTCATCTGTAAAAAACAGGAATAACAGTAAAATCCACTTCAGAGGGCTTTGGGGAGGATGAACTTAAGTTTTCAATGTTAAGTGCCTGGCACAGTTCCAGGCTCAGACCTAGTGCTTAAGAAATGTTTGTTGAATGAATAAACGAAATATATGTAATAATAAAAAGTTTTATTGAGTACTTACTGTGTATATAAAACCTTTCTCATGTATTAACTTATTTAAACCTCACAGTAACACCACAAAGGGATACTTTTATTATCCCCTTTTACAGACGAGGAAACAGGCACACAGAGAAATACAGGATCTTGCCTAAGGGCTCCTATCTGGTCAGTGGTAGTGACAGGATTTTCGGCCTTGCTGTTCTGCTCTTCCCTGCCTCAATTCCCCGCCCCTCCACCCGAGGAGTGAGGTGCTGCTATTAAGCCCTGCTACAGTTGTCTACTGCTGTGGAGCAGACCTCCCAACCTTCGAGGCATAAAGCAACAACCATTCTCTTATGCTCCTGGGCTCTGAGGATCAGGAGTTCAGACAGGGCAGAGTCTTGTCTCTGCTGGGGCCTTCACTGGGAAGACTCCACCGCTGGGGGCTAGGACAGCCAAGGCTAGAGGACCCACTTCAGAGATGGCTTCTTTACTCGCAGGTCTGGCCGGATGGTCTATTCTGCCTTGTGGGTGGCAGGCTGAATGGAAAGGCAGGACTATAGGTGAGGCCTGCATGGGCTCCAGCAGACTCCAGGGCTGAGTCCCCATGTTCCAGGGCCTGGCAGCCTAGGAGGCTTGGAAATTCTGGGGTTGTCACCCCCATGAATAGCCTCTTATCCAGGCCTTTGCACATGCTGTTTCCTGTAGCTGGGACCCTCCCACCCATCTCATTAACGCCTCCTCATTCTCAGTTCTCAGCGAGCTCTCTGGTCCTAGAGGAGGAGCTCCCGGAGCCCCCCAGGCTGTGGACGGATTTGCTGGCTCTCCTCCTGGGTCAGTCCTCTGTGGAGGGCCTTGTCACACCCTCGTAACTGACTCATCTACAGACTGGACGCTCCAGGGACAGGCCGGGTCTTCATCACAGCACCCAGCACAGTACCAGGCACACAGTGGGCTCCTTACGAATATTTGTTGAGTGGATGAGACGAGATTGATGAATTTTGAACGACTTTAACTTGAGCCTCAGTTTCCTCTTCTGTGAGTTAGCTTGTTGCTGTGAAGGTGGCGGGAGATAAAGGATGTGAAACTGTAGGGCACAGAGGAGGAAGTCAGAAAAATGGTAGTTATTGGATCTCTATCGAGGAGGGGAGCGCAAAGGAAATGAGATACTGGGCCTAAAGCGCTTAGCAGTGTCTGGCACATAGTAGGTGCTCAAGGCATATGACATTCTTATTATTAATCATTATCGTTATTACTATTATTTTTGTTATTATAAGAATTCATGTTCCTTGAATTAGAAGGATCACATAGGATGGTTTGAAATTTTCCTACAAGTGAAAATCACCACCTCCCCCCCCACGGTCATGGCGACTGGCTGTGGGATGATGGGCTGGGGTCCTCTGACTCAGTTTCCCTCCAAGTAAGAAAGGGCCTGAGCCTGCGATCTCTGAGGTCTGACAGACTCTGCGCTGCTGTGAATGCCACTCAGCGAAGCCACCCTCGCAACTCTTGTCTTTCAGCCTGAGGCGGGGGTCAGCCTCTCCCTCGCCCTTCACCCCGCTTTTAGTCCTGCCAGGAGAGCAAGTCCCCAGATTTCAGAGAAGCGCCCAGTTAGCATCCGGGCTGCTGCCCTGTGCCTGGTTGGGCGGCGCCCTCTAGTGACAGGACTGGGAAGGACAGGCGGGGCCGCCGCGCGGCGTCAGGCAGGGATGGGGACCGAGTGAGCGCCGGGGTGGGGAGTGGGCCTAGGGGAGGGCCCTGGTGTGGCCCAGCTGGGGAGGGGTCTGGGAGGGGTCCGGGAGGAATTCCTCAGTTCGCCCCAGGCCGTGTCCCCTCCCACTGGAATAGCGTCCGGAGGGCCAGCGGCCGGAACCTCCCTCTGGGCTCTGCCGCACTGCCCTTTCTCGCTGTGTGACCCGGGCGGCTTCTGGGCTTGTCTCTGAGCCTCGCCTTGCAAGAGGCGGTTAGACGGAGGGTCTCCTTCCCAGTAAGGCCGCCTCAGCCCCCGGGGAATGTGGGAGAGGCTGGGACTGGAAGGGATTAGGAGATGGGGATCAGGGAACATCTGAGATCCAAAGGTTACAGGAGGGGCTTAGGCCCTGAAGAAACTTTCTCTCCTAAATTGAAAACGTTTAAAAAACCTTGCCCATAGCCCTCAGTTGGGGACAGAGGACCAGGCCCCCTGAGGGAAGGAACATGGGCAGGGGACTGTAGGACTGGAAACTTCCACTCCTATCTTGGTATCTTAGAATTGTGGAATTTAGAACTTTCCACATCCCAGAATTTCAATCTTATCAGAAACCTCTATCTAGAATATATATACACTAAACTCTGTAGAATCAGGTCATTGACCCTTGAGGTCAGGATCAGAACAGCAGCCCCTCAAATTTAGGCGCCGGCACTCTGGGGCTGGAAGTCATCTGAGAGCCACCCTCTCCCGGGTCTCGTCCTGGAATGAATGTCTGCTCTCACAGTCTGCCCCTAAGCTTGTTCACAATTAGTCAGTCTGGGCAGGGCCCTGAAATCTGAATGTTTAAAAAGCCCCTCAGAGGATGCTGTTGGGCCACCCAGATTTGGGCAACGGATGTAATCCTGTCATGCCTCCTCGTCCTCCATCAAATGGGGAAACTGAGGCCCAGAAAGAGGAAATGATTTGGCCTAGACCCCACTGACTGCTGATGACAGGCTGGGACTCCAACCTGTGCCTCCAACACTGAGGGCACTCTCACCAGCAGCCGAGGGTGTTTAGATGTCTCCGTGGGGTTGTCACACCTCCTAGGTTTCCCTGGCCCCTCAGACATGTCTTACGGAGCACAGATGGGTTCCTGGGGCCACTTCTGTGATTTATGGGGCTTCAAGAGGCGCTGGTGATGGTGAATGCTCTCTTCTCCCTGTGGCTGAGCCCCTTTCTTGAGAGGGACCTGGAGGGGCTAAGGGCCCCTCCTCTTCCTACAGCATACCCGCAAGCTGAAGCCCCCCAGTCCCCGGCACACCCCGGCCCTCTCAGCCCTGAGCATTCCAGTGGAAACCACCCCACATGGTTTAGATTCGGCTACTCCAAACTCATCAGCATCATAGTTTTGTAACACCCGCTTGATGCCCACGAAGCATTTGCAAGTTTCTTTTTTCTTTTCCCTTTATTAAAAAAAAAAAAAAAAGTTGTGGTCTTGAAACAACAACAGAGCATTTCAGAGGCACAAACTTTTGCAGAAAAGAAGCTGTGGCCTGGCGAGGCGAGGAGGGGCTCTCGCTGTCCTCAGGGAGGCGAGGGGGGATGTGAGAGTGAGGGGGGCCGTGGGGGTCAGGCCCCCCCAGGGCCTGTCGGGAAGCAGTGCTAGGGGATCTCCAGGCGCCAGGCAGAGGGGGGCCTGAGCGTGGCATTCTCCTGGGGTGGGGGGGGCCATTTCATCACTGTAGCCGCTCCTCCAGCCTGCCGACACCCCCTTCCCCAGGCCACCCCGGGCTCAGGTCTCAGACTCTTCCTGCTCCTCAACGCTGAGCCCTCTGATTCAGGCCAGCCAGCAATGCCAGCGCAAGTCAGGAGCGCCCCTTCCTGGGGATTCGGGGGAGCAAAGGAGGAGGGGGGCTATGATGGTGGATGACGGGCAGTGAGGACAGACTGATTTCCGCGCTGGGTCTAACCTGAGACCCCTCCCACTGCTCTTCTGGCTGGCGTGTGGGTGTCACAGTGAAATGCAGATGCCCAGGTGCCAGGTGCCAGTGGTGGTGCGGGTGAGGGGGGATCTTCCCTTGCTCCTGACCCAATAGCTCCCTTCATCGCCCCCCCCGGAGGCCCCAAAGTTCCCTCTCAGCTGTGGATGTGCTGAGTGGAGCAACCAACAGGCAGAAGGCACAGCACTGGCTTCCCTGTGTGGCCTTGGGCGAGTCCCTTCTCAGGCCTCAGTCTCCCCTTGGGTACCATGGGCAGGAGGCGCCAGGGTGGGGAATGGAGTGGCCTGGATAATCTCAAAGCTCCTGTCAGCTCCCCTGGCCTCTTCCGGGATGAGCCGGTGGGTTCCCCAGGGATGACAGCCTAGCTGGGGCAGCGCTTGGGTCCCCGAAGGACATGGGAGTCCCGTAGGCTCTGGAAACAGGGCAGGGAGCTACCAGAGGGAGGGTGCCGAGGGAGCACTGATGGGGCAGCAGGCAGCTTCCAGGAGGGCGGACTCTGCTGCCACAGGCGGGCACAGGGCTGGCCGTCCAGCCGGAGGCCCCATGGTGGCTCCTCTCCTGCCAGCTGGGGGAAGCGTCCGGGCATCGGGAGGCCCGGAGCCTTCTCCAGGGCGTTTCTGGAGGAGCTGGTGTCCGAGGGCTGTGGAAATGGCCTCCGGGGACTGGCCAGAGCAGGCGGCGCTCAGAGCCCGGGGTTCAGGGGTCTGCTCTGGAGCAGGAGCGGGGCTCTCAGGACTCAGGAGCCGCCTGTGCTGTGGCCTGGGCCCCGCCCTGCGGAACCCCTGCTCTGCAAAGGTGGGGTCAGGACAGCGACAGGGAAGGGCCTAGAAAGAGATGTTTGCTGTCTTTGAGGAGCGGATGGAGAGAGTGGCTGGGGGGGGGCAGCAGATGATCTCTCTCCTGAAGTGTGTGTGAGAGAGAGAGAGACAGAGGACATACAAAGAACAGGAAGAAAGACAGGAGAGAAGGAACAGACAGACATAGGAGAGAGACAAGAGAACATGGAAGGGGGAGAGTGGAGATGGAGGCAACTCAGGAAATGAAGGGGGAAGAGAAAGGAAAGGTAGGCTGACAGGAGAAAGGGGAGAGAGAAGGCTGAAGGACGCAGGCAGCCGCGGCAGACAGCGGAGGGGGAGGGGCGGGAGGGAAAGAGCGGCTGGAGGCGCCCGGCTGCTCAGGCCTGCGGCCGCCGGGGCCTGGCGGGCAGCTTGCGGTCTGGCTTCCCGTCCTTGCGCGGGCGCTGCTCCCTCCGGCCCTTCTTCTCCCCGGGGCTCTTCTCTGCAACGAGAGCACGGCCGTTGTTTCTGAGGCTGCTCAGGCCCTGGGAGGCCCTGAACCCTGAGGATGAGGGTGTCCCCCCCCAACCCCCCGCCCACGGCGGGCTCAGACTCACGTCTGGGTGCTGACAGGACCATCGCTCCTTTCTGGAGTCTGGACTGCGGTGACTTACCCAAAGGGACCACTTCTCTCAGTTCCTTAGGGGGTGAGGAGGGGCCCCCCAGGCCTGGAGGTTCACGCAGGCCCCCAGTCAGGACTCGGGGTGGCCTCGCGGGGGTGCCCATGACCCTCCCACGTGCACTCACTTCCCAGTTTACAGGGCGGTTCAGTGGGGACTCGACACCTTTTACCTGGTCGGTCCCGGCACCAACTTCCCCACTCACCTCCAGGCCCCGCTCTGCCCCTCAAAACGACGAGACCTCAAGAGGAGCGGCATCTAGCGAGTGCTCCCGCACGCCAGCTGCCTCCAAGTGCCCTGTGTACCTTAAACTCGCGACAGCCGGGGAGGCAGGCACAGCCCCACTGCCCCACAGGACAGGCGTCACGGGGTCTGTACCTCACCCGGTTCCCACTGTGCAGAGTGGATGCAAACCCCACACCTAACCTAACCCGGAACCTTGACCCCATGGTGCCCCCCCACCCCCCGTGGAGCTGGGGTGAGCTTCTATCACAAATGCCAGATTAGCCCCATTTCTCAGATGAGGTGACTGAGGCCCAGGGAGGGGCCTCGCTTGCTCAGTGGCACAGCCAGGGCCGAGGTTCTTGGCATCACTTTCAGTGACTCCCAGCTCACTTGGAAGAAAAGACCATGTCCTCCCTCTTACCCCCCGGGCCTCCCCTCAGCCCCCTCCTCCTTGCTCACTTGGCCCCAGTCATTGGCCTCCTTGCTGTCCCTCCAACACAGCGGGTCCATGCCACCTCCACACCTTTGCACCGGCTGTGCCCTCCACCCGGAATGCTCTTCCCAGCTGTTGTTTGTCATATTATTATCAAAACAGGAGAGAAGACCAGGCTTGGTTTGGGAGCCAAGCCAGCCCTAAATTTCTGGTTTACAAAGTGTCTCCACACCCCGGCCGCTTTCATACATTGCTCTCCCAAGGGAGCTTTATGCCCACGTGCACATGAAGAAACCCAGGCTCAAGGAGTCGCTTCCCAAGGTCACACGGCAGTTAGAGGTGGCAGCGGCGAGGGGACGGCAATTTCATTTCTTGAGTGTCACCTGTGTGCCTGTCTCTCCAGGAGTCAGGGCTCCCCCTCCTCAGAGCAGGCTCAGGGTCATCCCCTTAGACCAGGCCGCCCACCTCTGGGGCTCCCTGCACTCACCCCCAAGCCCTCAGGGGACCCTGAAGCCAGGCTCCCTCTCTAAGCTCCGGGGCTGATGGTATCGGCCCTCAGGTGAGGCAGCATCTGGGGGACGGGGTGTGGGTGCTGCCTGAGTGGCCCCTGCCAGCTTTGAAGGTGGGAACATGGGGTGAGTGGCTGTGGGTCCCCATCCCTTCCCTCTGCTTGCTTGATATCTGCCCATCCACCCACCTACCCACCCATCTATCCTCCTATCCACCCACCTACCCATCCACCCACCTACCCACCAATCTATCCTCCCACCACCCACCTACACATCCACCCACCTACCCACCCACCTACCCATCCACCCATCTACCCACCTACCCATCCACCCACCCACCTACCCACCCATCTATCCTCCTATCCACCCATCCGTCCACTCATCTAACAAGTGTTACCTGAGTACCTACTATGTGCCAGGCCCTGTTGCTGGCACTAGAGAGGCAGCCACGAATAAGGCAGACAGAGCTAGCTCTCCTAGGAGATCACATTCCAGTAAGGCAGACAGAGACTAAACGAGCAGACACAAGAATGAGCACCATCATTTCCGGAGGCTGTAAGTGCTGTGACATGATGTGATGGGGAGTGACTCTTGGTCGGGGAGGCTCAGGGCCTCTCTGAGGATGAGACCTTTGAGCTGAGACCTGGATGAGGCAGGAGGCCCCAGTAGGGTTGTCAGGAGGATTAAAGGAGTCGTAGTTACAAAGCACTTAGCACACCGCCCAGCACACGGTGAGTGCTTTATGATGTTCGCTGCTGCTGCTGTTGTTATTATTATTGTTATTATTATTATTGTTATTATCTGGGGGAAGAGCCCTGTCTCCATCCTTCCACAGCCAACCACCACCAGCTCTCAGGTGCCATGAGAGGTGTGGCCACAGGAACTAGGGCTGTACAGGACTATCTGTCTGGGTGCTTCCCTGGGTCTGGGGTCTCTTAGTTTCTCTGATCCCATCTTGACCTCACCTTCTGTCCCCAACTGCCCACCATGACTCCCAGAGGCCCCCATCTCTGCTATCTGCATTCTCAACCCAGACTCAAGTCCTTCTGAAACCAGGGGCATCCCTGGGTTCAAGTCCTGGCTCCACCACGTCCCAGCTGTGGGTTCTGGGTGGCCTGGCCACAGGTCCCTCACTCTTAAGCACAACTGTAGATTCCTCTTTGCACACAGACCCATGTTTGAATTCCAGGTTCATACATCCCTAGCTGTGTGACCCTTGGGCAAGTGACTCAGCCTCTCTGGGCCTCAGTCCCCTCGTCTGTAAAATGAGGATAATACAGTCATGTGTTGCTTACCAACTGGGATACGTTCTGAGAAATGCGTCATTAGGCTGTTTCGTCATTGTGTGAACATCACGGAGTGCACTTACACAAACCTAGGTGGTATAGGCTGTATGGTACTAATCTTATGGGACCACCGTCATATGTGTGGTCCGTCATTGACTGAAACGTTGTTATGCGATGCATGACTGTAATAATGCCAACCTAATAGTGTCGTTGTGCAGATTAAATGACTTAATGAATGTAGGGAATTAGCACAGTGCCCTGCACACAGTAGGTACACAGTCAATGTTAGCTAATTCGCTCTGTGTGGTTACAATGAAGAGGGCCCAGTGGCATTCAGTGGACAGGGGTTGGGGTGCTGAATCGGACAGTCCCCACAGAGAAGTCCCCGTCCCATCCAATTCTCTAGCGGCCTGCCACACCCTCACGTAGCTGAGAGATCTGCTGGCTCAGAGCCGAACTCCGTTTTGTGAGTTTTGAACACTGTCCCCTTCACTGAACATTCCAGGGCTGCCAGGGTGCTGTCAAGCAAGAGATCAGAGAGTTTTGTTGGACTTGATTCAGAGTTGGTCACCACTTGGGAAACCGCATCCCTGATGGCAACGCGGCCGTGCATCCAAGGCCCTGACCACGGCCATCACTTCTCCGTGATCCTACTTCATTCTCTGGTGTGGCCGAGCACTGCCAGATGACATCTCCTTATTGCCCTTTTATATTACAGTTAGGGCGCTATCCTGATTTAAAAACAAACGACTGTGCAAGTGGGTTACGTTATCCGTGAATTCCATTTCAGAGTAGGAAAGAGGGCGTTCCGAAATCCTTGTTATTGACAGGGAGGTGGTTAGTCTGCAGGGGTCAAGAAATCCTGATGTTAAGGACAACTCAGTCCTCCTAACGTACCTGGGACTGACCCCAGCAAGGAAGACCCTCCTCTGAAAGCACAGCGAGGAGGGCAAAACTTCCCGCACAGGAAGGGATGGCTACTGGGGGACTTTCAGGCAGCCTGACAGGTACTGCTGAGGTGGCAGTGTCCCAAGGCCACTCAGAGTCACCCAGGGGCCCAGCCTGGTGCTCACCTCCCGGGCAGGGCCTCTGGATGGAACATTTCCGCGACTCGGACAGCACCTGGCAGGTGGCTGCCTCTTCCTGCCCAGCCCGGCCTGCCTCTCGCACCCGGGTGTCCAGGCCCCAGGCCGAGCCGCAGGTCTTCCTGTTGGGGGTGCAGGGGCTCCAGTGGCCCCAGGGGCCCAGCTCACACTCCTCTGTCGGGCGGAGAGGGAAAGAGACAGACAGACCGACAGACGGGGTCAGCGGGCAGTGAGCGTCCTTCAGATCCAAGCGCAGGGTCTGAGGGTTCAGTTCTCCACGTGCAAGGGACTCACAGGCTATTACAGGGAGCAGAGGGGAGACATTTACACAGCCATTTATGAGAGCCTGGGGTGCGAGCTATACAGTAGCCCGCCCTTAGCCGCAGTTTCACTTCCCATGGTTTCAGTTACCCGTGGTCAACTGTGGTCTGAAAATATTAAATGGAAAATTCCAGAAATAAACAATTCATAAGTTTTAAATTGCATGCCATTCTGAGTAGCGTGATGAAATCTCACACTGTCCCGCTCCATCCTGCCTGAGACGTGAATCATCTCTTTGTCCAGCACATCCACGCTGTGTACACTGCCTGCCCGTTAGTCACTTAGTAGTTGTCTGGGTCATCAGATCCACTGTCATGGTATCGCAGTGCTTGTGCTCAAGTCACCCTTATTTTACTTAATAATGGCTGCAAAGCACAAGAGTCGTGATGTGAGCAATTCCGACACGCCAAAGAGAAGCCATACAGTGTTTCCTTTAAGTGAAAAGGCGAAAGTGAAAGGTGAAAGTTCTCGACTTAATAAGGAAAGAAAAAAAAAATCATATGCTGAGGTTGCTAAGATCTACAGTAACTTTTATAAGAGTATATTGTTACAATCGTTCTACTTTATTGTTAGTTATTGCTGTTAATCTCTTACTGTGCCCAGCTTAGAAATTACACTTTATCATAGGTCTGTATGCATAGGAAAAACACAGTATATACAAGGTTCGGTACTATCTGTGGTTTCAGGCATCCACTGGGGGTCTTGTACGTATCCCCCGTGGATAAGGGGGGACCACTGTACTGATACATAGGCTGCTGGGGGCCAGAAGCCAGAGTGACCAGTTGGCTTTAAAGGGGGGGGCCTCCCCGAGGAGGCGACATAGGGGCAAAAGGGAGAGAGAGAAGTGCATCAGATGGAGATGGAAGGACGCACGTTCCAGGCAGGTGTGCAAAGCCCTGGGGGCCGCAAACCACGTTGGAGGTACGGGCAGCTAGAGAGGGGCTGAGGTGGAGGTTCGGGAGGGGAGGGGTAGGAGATGAGGCTAGAAGGTCACACAAGGGTTTTGAAATGAACATGTGCCTTTGATAAGCCATAGAAGGCGGCAGCTACGCAGTGCTGTTGTGAGGAAGATGAGATCATGGGCATAAAATTTCTTAACAGGCAATAATTTTAAAATATATATAAGTGTATATATTCTTTCACACTTGATTCTTTTAAGAGTCCCTGAGAGGTAGGCAGAGAATAAGGGCAGCTATTAATACCCCCTTTTGCAGCTTGGGACACTGAGGCCTAAAGCAGGTAGGGGGCTTGCTGAGGGAACATGGAGGGGGTCGCACAACAGGACACAGCCAGTTTATGATCCAGTTGGGCCCGGGAGCCAGGTCTCCAGCCCTTAGCACAATGGTCCTTCTGCTGAATGCATTCATTTGACAAGTAAAGACTGAGCAACTGCTGTGTGCAAGGTGCTGTGGTGGGTGCTGGGTGCAGTGGGGACAAGACAGACCCGGGTCTGCCTCCTCGAGTTCACCATCCAGAGAAGTCAGGCTGGAAGAGCAGGGTGCTCGTGCAGTAATGGGGGCAACACAGGCAGCCGTGGGAGCCCAGAGGAGGCAGGGGTCCCAGCCTGGGGGACCTGGAAGGCTTCCTGGAGGAGGAGACTCCTGATCTGAGTCTTGAAGTATGTGCGGGGAGGTTAGCCAGGCTCAGGGAGGGCAGGAGAGAGAAGTGCTCCGGTGGAAGGAATAACCCCAGCAGAGTCCCTGGAGACGACTCGGCCCTTGACACTGGCCTAGAACTCAGGACATTAGAGCATGGACTCAAACGGGGGAGGGAAAAGTGATAGCGGCAGAGAGGCTGGCAGTGGGGACCAGAGTGCCCACAGCCTGGGAGGGCTCCAGTGAGGACAATGGGAGCCACTGAAGGGCCTTGAGCAGAAGAGAAACCTGATCAGATCGTCATGTTGAAATAAGCACTCTGGCTGCCGGGATGAGAGCCAGTGCAGGCTGAGGGCAGTGGGACCTGAGGCAGGTAGACAGGCAGGACGCTGTGCCGTGATCCCAGCGATGGGCAGAGGGTCAGGAGAAACAGGCGTTTGGGGGCGGGGTGGGGAGAAGGAGGCGGGTTTGGGAGCTTTATTCTGCTTCATTTTTTCCCCTGAAGTTCTTTCTGCCACGTGACGTCTGTATTTATCTTGTGTGTCTCCTCTGCCTTCCCACGAAAATGTCACATCCACGAGGGCAGAGGCTTTGTCTGTTCTGTTCACTCTACGTCCGGAGCTCCTAGGAAAGTGCCGGGGGCACTGCAGATGCTCTAGTAAATATCTCCTGAGCGAACGAATGAGCAGATTGGATTGCATGTCGGGTGAGGGAGAGAGACGAGTCGACAGTGATGCCCGTGTCTCCAGCATGGCCAGCCCGTGGGTTGTGGAGCTGGTAACTGAGAGAGGAAGCCCAGAGGAAGCACCAGGCTGGGGATGGGGAGGGAGGGAAGGAGGCATCCACAGGGCAGGTGGGGATGTGCGTCTCTGGTCAAGGAGTGAGGGGGCTGGGACAGCGAGTCAGGAGCCGTCAGCTTTGGGAATGACCATGAACATGAGCCCAGAGAGCAAGTGTGGGCAGAGATACACGATTCAGGTAAGAACACCAGGGACAGCCTCACGTAAGGACAGACCACAGAAGAGGAGCTCACACAGGAGTCTGAAAAGGAGCAGCAAGAAGACAGAACAATAATAATGACAGCTGACACATAGTGAGCACTTACTGTGTGCTAGCGACTGTATTAAGTTCTTTCAATTGTATTAATTCATTTAATCCTCATAATAACCCTCCCCCCACACAAGGAGGTAGGTTCTATGTTCTACTGTAATTTTTGTTTAACATTTTGAGAAACTGAGGGACAGAGAGCTTAAGTGACTTGCTCAGGGTCATTAATGGGTACATTTTAGAGCTAGGATTTGAACCCAGTTCTGTCTTACTCTAAAATCAGTGTTCTTCTTCTGTACTCTGCTGCCTCCCTTGGTGATAATAATGACGCCGATGTTGGGAGTACCAGTCATCATAATAATGGTGCTTATGATGGTCCAGCGTGTTGAAGGATTCCTATGTGCACCTGAGGTAGTGATGCTGGGCCTCCCATCACCTGGTGACATTCTGCTATGACCTCTCCCAGGTCTCCTGACACCCCTCCCCAGGCCCCAGCTCCAGGGAGGGGAGGAGGGGCAGGGCGAGGAGGCCCCCACTCACCCTGGCACTCCCGTGTGCTCTGCTGGGCTGTGGTGCCCGGTGGGCAGGTGGGCAGACACTTCCCCTTGTACAGGTAGAACCGCCTCTTGCACTGGATGCAGAAGTCCTGGCTGAAGCAGCTCTCACAGGTGGCCCCACATTCTGTAACAGAGCCAGGGCCACCCCTGGTGAGGGTGACCGCCCAGGGAGGGGCGGGAGGGTCTCTGAGCAGCCCCAAGCTCTGTAGCACTGGGATCAGTACTCAGTGTCCCCTCTGAAGCCCAGACTTGCCCAAGGTCAGACTGGGCTGCATTCTAGGAGAACTCCCTTTCTCATTGAACTGAGGCTCAGCAGGGGCAGGTGACGTGCCCAAGGTAACATGGACATACCTGAATTTAACATATTTGAATTTAAAGGTCAAGATTCCCTTTCTCATTGGAGCTGTGGCTCAGAGAGGGCAAGTGACTTGTCTGAAGTCATACAGCAATCTGGGCGGGGAGTGAGGACTCTGCTCCATTTCCATCAAGGCTCAGAGACGATCATGATTTGTCCCAGGTCATGGCGAAAATTAGAGTTAGGAGTTAGGACTCTTTTTCCCATTTGAGCTAGGCCCAGGGAGGGTGAGTAACAAGCCCAAGGCTACATAGCAAACTAGGGAAGAGGTGAAGATTCCCTGCCCCATTAGTGCTGAGACCAGAGAGGGCACTGACTTGCCTAGGGTTTCAGAGCCAGCTTGAAGTCAAGCAAGTATCTCCGAGTCTGGGCTCAGGCGTATGCCTGCTTCCCTGTGGCTGTCTTGGGGTGAGAGGCGGGATGTGGGCCACAGGCGCCCAGGAGAGCAACACAAGCGCAGGACAAGGGAGGAGCCACGTACTTTTGCACCTGTTGACCTCCTGGCCGCGGATGCCGTAGTAGCCGGGGGGACAGTCGTGCACACACTTGCCGTACTGACGGATACCTTCCCGGCGGATGAACAGGAAGAGCCTCTGCTGGCAGGTGGAGCAGCCATTCTCCTCTGAGCAGATGACACAGCCTGTGCAGTTGCCCCCCGGACCAGTGCCCACTGCCAGCCAGACCAGGGTGGAGGGTGGGGGAAAGGGAGAGAGAGATGGTCAAACCATATGCGTGAGCAGCTCAGACTGTCTCATTGGGTTATTAACTGATCACGCAGCCAACCATACAAAAGACTACATTTCCCAGTTTCCCCTGCAACTAGATATGGTCATGTGACCAAAATCTGGTCAATGGGGTATAAGGTAAAACAGTGCGTGCAACTTCTGGAAAGCTGCCTTACAGGGCAGGGGCATGCCCTTTGTCATCCTCTCATCCTTCCTGTTGGGTGGAATGTGAACATGATGCCTGGTGCACCAGCAGCTATTTTGGATCATGAAGTAGAAACTACGTGTTGAGGATGGTGGAGAAATAAGATTTAAAAAAGCCTGGATCCTTGAGGAAGGCAGAACTGCTGTACCAGCCCTGGACTGCTTCTGTGGACTCTTATATGAAAGAGAAATCAACGTCTATTTCGTTTAAACCACAGTTATTTGCAGTTCTCTGTCACTCACAGACAAATTTAATCTTTACTAAAATAGTCTGTATTTTGTGTGTGTGTGTGAGGAAGATTAGCCCTGAGCTAACATCTGCGAATCCTCTTCTTTTTGCTGAGGAAGACTGGCCCTGGGAAAACATCCGTGCCCATCTTCCTCCACTTTATATGGGACGCTGCCACAGCATGGCTTGACAAGCAGTGCGTCAGTGTGCTCCCTGGATCCGAACCTGCGAACCCCGGGCCGCCACAGCGGAGCGCATGCACTTAACCACTACTCCACCAGGCCGGCCCCTAAAATAGCGTGTATTTTTGAGTGTGTGTGGTGCACACGCAGGTGGGGGTGGCGGGAGACTCTCACTCTCCTGCTGGGTTTCTGAACACTACTCCATTCCTCACTGTCACCATCACCAACACTCCCAACATCATCAAGCACAGCAAACTGAGGGGAGGAACTTTTTGTTGCCCCAGAATTAGTGACCAGGACCCAAAGCTGGGAAGAAAGAGGTGGAAAATACCCTAGAACCTAAAGAGAGCCTCTACGAAGCTCACAGAAGCCTCTGATTAAGCTGACCACTTAGAAAGAGGGACTCACGGGAGCCAGGAGTAGTCAGCCTGGGGAAGGGGGGTTGCCGTGGCTTTCTCTCTGTTCTTAAACCCTCAAACTAAGTGCGGGGAGATTGCAAGGGAACCCCTCACAGAGACGGGGGGGCTTGCAGGAAGGGGTGACCAGCATCTCATGCCCTGGTTGGACGTGAACTTGTGCTGCAGCCCCATAGATCTGCCCCTTCCCTCTGAGCAAAGAAGAGACCAGGAGAGAGAAGGGCCAAGCTGAGAGGGGAGGCAGCAGTAGGTGAACCTGCATGGCCTTCAGGGCAAGCCTGGGGGGCTCTCAGTGGCAAGGGCCCCCTAGAAGTAGCCAGGCTTCGTGCTGTGGCTGCTGCCTCACCTAAGAGGGCTGGTTGCTGGCATGCGCCCCAGCAGTAGGAGGCAGCAGGGTATACCACCTGGGGTCGGAACTGGGGAGAGTCAGTGTGTGTCACTAAGGGACAGAAAAGGACCAGGCAGCTTCGTAGAGGCAGTGACTGGGGAAACAGGGAACTGTTTCAGGTTTCTACCCCATCAAGGTCACACTGGTTAATAAACCAGTTACACAGGGGCTCCCCTGAGCTCACGGCCACCCAGCAGGGGACATTCTTGGCTCTCCAGCTCCCAGCTCCTCCTCTGTTCCTACTGGTGCCCCATCCTCCTTTTAAAGGAATCCCCGTTGCATGAGGCCCTGTGGAAGGGCAAATCCTTCCAGACACCAAGGTGAACAGACACCAAGGAGGCCCGAGCCGTCTTCGTTTCGACAGTTGCTGAGCATTGACCGAAACCTGGCCAGTCAGACACTCACTCCAGTGACCCCGAGTCCTGGGAGTGGGGCACAAACAGCGAGGGGACAGGTGGTTCACAGTGGAGGCAGAGCTGACTGTGCCCAGTCCAGCCTGGGTCCTCTCTGTCTCCCCTTCCTCCCTCCCTCTCGCTCTGGGATGGGTACATTTCCCCAAGCCTGATCTCCAGCTCCCTGGACTCTGGGAGGCCCCCACACCCTGCCGATAACTCCCATCAGTGTTGCTTACACCTGAGAACCCGACCGATCCAGCGGGCTCATATGGAGGTACAGAGTAACTAACGTGTACCCTGGGATCCTGCCCCCAGGCAGCAAGCAAGGGTGGCAATGTTTCAATGCCCCTGGGAAGACAAACTGCCACAGGAGAGCAGAGTAAAGGTTGTGTGTTTCCAACGCTGCAGACCTGGCGGGGACCTGAGGGCAGAGAGAAAGTGTGATGTCGTAAGAGGGAGTCCCAGGGCCAGAGAGAGCATCAACTGAGAAGTGGACAGAGCCCAGACTTCCCAGCCGATCGGCAAAAAATGTAAATTCTAATGATACCAAGGGCTGGCAAAGATGAGAGGAAACTTTCACTTCTGGTAGGAGTATAAACTTTGGAGAAAAATCTAGCAGCATCTAGTAAATTTAAGGATGTGCCTTTTCTAAACACGGCAATTTGGCTTCTGGTATAAATCCTACAGTGGCAGTTCTCAAACTCCAGCATGCATCAGCATCTCCTAGAGCACTTGCTACAACACAGATAGCTGGGCTCCACCCCAGATTGTCTGATTCAGTGGGTCTGGGACGGGGCCTGAGAATTTGCATTGCTAACAGGTTCCCAGGTGATGCTGATGCTGCTGGTCCTGGGACCACACTCTCAGAACCACTGGCTTAGAGAAACTCTTGTGTATGTGCATAAAGAGACAGGTACGAAGATGTTTATTGCAGCATTATTTAATAGCAAACAACTGTACAAACCTGTCTATCAAAAGCATAAACACATAGTGGCATAGTCATATACCACAGCCATATATTGCTTATATGACCCAGCCATGCTAAATGACTGAGGGAGGGTTACAGTTGTCATCGTGGATACACCTCAGAGACGACAGCAAATTGCACAATGAATCATATAGTAAGAAGCCATTTACATAGAGTTTGCAACTTTGCAAAACAATACTCTGTAACATTTATGACATAAATTTGTATTAAGAGTAGAAGACATAAAAGGGACTGATAAACATTGAATTCAGGATGGTGGCACCTCTGAAGTGAGAAGTGAGGAAACGGATTCAGGAAGAAGTCTGGGGACTTCACTCGTATCTGTAATATTTAATTTCTTAAAATCTGAAGCAAATATGGAAATGGCAAGATTTGATAAAAGTGGCTGGTGGGTACACAAATGTTCATTGTACTATTTTTTTATTCTTGACTGTAGGTTTAAAATATTTCACAATAAAAATATATTTAAAGAAGAAAGAGTTTAGCCTCTATTGTGTCCTGGGGGGAGGGGAAGGGCACCTCATTCTTTCTACGCCTTCTCCGCCCGCACCCATCCTCAAGCTGAAGTCTTGGGCAGAGGAAGGTGACAGAAATTCAGAAAGTAATGGAAATTGGAGCCCCTGAGCTCCATGCTACTCCTCCCCCATGTTCACTCTCCCCCTCCCCCTCCTCCAATCAATAATGGAACCCTGATTTTTAGCGGAATTTTGTCTTCCAAGAATAAAGACTACATTTCCCAGGCTCCTTTGCAGGGGTATGTGGTCATGTGTCTAAGTTCTGGCCAATGGGCCTCAAGTGGGCGTGTCCTGTGCCACGCCCAGGAAGTGCCCTTCAAAGGAAGGGCCGGGCTATCCTCCTCCTCTTCTTCCTTCCACCTGCGGGATTGCGGCCTTGATAGCTGGAGCCATGGCAGATCAGAGGGCAGAGGGACCTGACAGAGAGACACCGTGGTGCGGCCATGCTAACCCAGGGCTGTCTTCCTCAGAGTCTTTTATAGGAGAGGGAGGAAAAGTGTCCCTCGTGTTTAGGCCACCCGGCCTTTCTGACAGATACGGAGGACTACATGATAATGACTGATGGTGTCGGGTCTTCAGCCACGCAGGTGGGCACAGAACGATGGCAGTGGAGACCAGGGTGCCCTCCTCAGTGCCCCAGGACTTCATAAGCCTGCTGGACCTGAGATGTGACCCCACCAACAAAGGGCAGGGGGGCCCTCATTTGGCTTGAGGGGATCACTGCCGCCTGGCAGAAGAGGAGTTCAAATTAGAAATTATGTTCAGTTACAGAAAAACAAAATGGTATTTCCTGCAAACTGAGTTTGTGGACTGAGACTCGCACCCCAACATGGGTGGTGGTGCCCATCTTGCAGCTGAGGAAACAGAGGCTCAAAGAGGTGAAATGAGACGCCCAGGGTCCTGCAGAATCAGTGGGGGTAGAGACCCAGATCATTTGGCCCCGCACTGCCCTCTTGGAGCATTTGTTCAGGGTCTTCTCTGTGTCAGGCAGAGCTGGGGCCACAGGGGTGAGCCGCACACGGCCCCTGCTGTCACAGCACCTCACAGCCTGGTGGGAGGGGCGAAGCCACAGAAGTGACTGATAGCAGCACAGATGGGGACAAAGCAAAACTCCCACCACTGTCTCTCAGAAGGGCCTGACCCCTGCAGTTTCCCTGGGGACCCTGAGGCCAGATGGAGTGGAGCCTTCCCAGAGATCAGACAGCCAAACAGCACAGAAGCCCCAATTAGAGCTACAGCACTATTTGTAGAGTGATGTTTCTACATGCTGAAGACAAAAGAACCCTACGAGGGCCCTCCCCTGACCTCGGAGGGTGTCAGGTGTGTGTGTGTGTGTGTGTGTGTGCGCACACGTGCGCAGGCAGGGGATGGATCTCAACTAGCATCTTTCAACCCCAGGTCTTAGAAGAGAGGTAGCTCTGCCTCCTGCATCCTTGGTCCTGGCAGTTGCTAGGGCGCCCTCTAGTGCCCCTATGTTGTAACAGCACTTCTGACTTTGAATTCTGATGGTCTCTGGCTTTTCATCACAACATCTCTATAACTCCTTAGAAAGAGCAACACTATCCCCCCTGTCCCCCCTCCAAGGTCACGGGTGTAGAGACTTGAATGCTAATTTTATGAATAATAAG